CAGGTCTACTCTACACTATAGGGATGCTATATGTAGAAGTTGACCCAATGACAATGAATTAATATCTTACACAATGCTGCCTGATGCTTAATTGCTGTTTCTTGAACTAACAGGTGGATTTAGGGGTGGATTACCCAATAAATAGCATGGATTTACTTGTACTTACTGATTGATCTATAGTGAACAATTTCACATGTTCTGAAGGATATACCCAAATTTGGGCTCTATTTCACCTGTTCCTGGTGTGGCACTGTGGGATAAGTGCTGGACTACTACCTACAAGATTGGCAGTTAAAACCTACTAGCTGCTTATCGGAAAACCCTATACAGGGTCACTATGGATTGGAACTGACACAACAACACTTAACAACAAGAAAAACAATTTAACCTGTTTCTAGGAATGTGTGTGTGTGTCGGGGTGGTGGTGGTGGTGCTATCTGCTTCATGAGATTACCAGTTATCACTGAGTGTATTCCTACTTATGGAGACCAAACAAATGTTTTCTAAAGGCTTTGTTGCACTACTCTAAAAGGCCTCAAGAGGGAGGCACCGCATCATCAAAGACGGTCAGCACCTCAGCTATGCAGTCTCTTTTTCTGAATATGCATCTTGTCCTTTTCATTTTCTTCCCTTTACCCTTATTTTTGTTGTTTGGTTTTTTAGTTAACATGTAATCTTACGACAGAGATATCTGAGCAAAAGCATTTTTTAAAATTCAGATCTTCATAACATTATCTAAAGTCTACTATGACCTATATTCTGTTGTGGCTGATTCCTGCCCTGTGCTGTCCACATTTGTGATCTTTATTAAACCTGAGGAGCTCATCACCACCTTTGTTGTGAATGTATGTGTTATTTGTAGCTGATTTAGCAATCACTACCTGTGGTAGCGGTTACGAATCGGGCTGTGAACCTTAAGGTAAGCAGTTCGAGACTACCAACCACTCCGCGGGAGAAAGATGAGGCTTTCTGTTCCTCGGAAACCCTGTACAGGGTCGCTATGGGTCGGCACCGACTCGACGGCACTTAACAATAACCTGTGGGT